ACGAGCAATTACATTGACCTAAGGTCAGGCATGAAGGTCAGACCAAGGTAAAAACCAACCTGGTTTATTACACTAGTGCTTGCTGTATAGGGTAGTTTCTGGTGCACATTTGAACTTATTGATAGCAGAAAGCACATACATCTTCCATCGACTTCGTAGGGTCAGACTAGGTTATTGACCTAAAATGGCCCAGGTCAACGTTTGTTTTTCGGAACATACTGCCTAGCGTAATCTTTGTCGCTGATTTAAATGCAAACTCAGAGCAGCTTGTATGATTTTGGTCATCATAAGCACCTTCAAAAGACGACCTTTGACCTTCAAAAGGTCACACAAGGTTACTGGCCTTAACTGAGCATATGACCTTATGCTTAAACGGTTATCTAGGTTTTTGGGGCACTTTGGAGACCAGCCTGGAGCTTGACCTTGTTTGACCTAATTAGACCAGAAGGTCATGACCTAGGAACCTGGGCTTTGACCTAAGTAAGATCACGTACAGGTCAACACACCATGTAAATTTGGTGTCTCTAGCTCTCTTAGTTCCCGAGATCTAAGGGGGTCAAATTGACCCCCGCCCGAGGAAAGGGTGTCCAGCCGGCCACCCGGGCGCGTGTTAAAGCACTGCGAAGTGGGGCTGGAATCTGGTGGTTGAACTGGAAGAGTGAAGCTAGAATCTCTACTTTTCGTGTTTTGCAGCTATTCATTTATCCAGAAGACAGATTAACGCGGCGCCCGCCGTCTGGTGGCACTTGCAATGGCCGAACTTTTCGGTTTTACGGAAGTCGCAACCCAGACCATCCTTGTTCTTGCTCTCGAGGTTGCGGGCGGGCATGTTCAAACCATTTGATGCAATTTGTTCCAATAATGCATTTGAAAAAAATGAACGTTCTCAGGCAAATATGGCATGACCCTGCTCGTTTCTTAAGCTCATTTCGACCCAACCTATTCAATAATAATGAGACCCCCAATCTACTCACAATAATGGATATTTTTTCAATATTTCCTTCCGGCCAAGGGCCTCTTGAGTAGAACACCAGGGGAACACCTTCAGCCCTTGGCCGTTTCCGGTCAAGAGCTGAAGGGCTATTCCGTCCTATCGCGAAGTGTCTTCTGGCTATCATTCTGGTGACACGGGGCGGATCTCCTGGTCGATCCGGAGGCCATGAAAAGATGTATATCACATTGTTCCCATCCCTGATATGGGAGGCTATCCGACCCGCACAGTTAGCCCCGGATCAGCGCAGGAACCCTCATTGACGCAACAACATCCCTGATCACTGCAGGCAGTCCGATGGTTGTCACATAGACTCCAGTTCCGTGTATTTATGTGTTCTTCAGAGATATTGAGTTCGCCCTGACCGTAGATTGTAAATGAAATCGGGTTCCTTATTTGGCTTGACATGGCTACCCATGTTCGTCTTAAAATGCTTTAGATCATGTCAGAACTGATAACTGATAAGAAAACTACGCAATATGTCTTGAACACGCACGCTCGGAAGTCATAGCAATAACAGCCTCGACGCCCAGCGTTGCAGCTCCAGGCCGTGCGGCGTCAGCCTTCCGGCTGCAACACTAAGCGATGGCCAATGAGCGAATGAAAATATAACGCATCTTAAGGGAGATGGCTGCTGCACTAGGTAAATCGGCATGCATCTTTAATGTCGTGCAAAAGTAAGCCAAATACAACCTTAATATGAAAAGTGGGCCGATTAACATTGCTGGCCGCCCCACTCTGAAGAGGGGGGGCATGACCCCCTGCCCCCTGTTCCTTACGCCCATGAATAGGCAACAGGCTCGCTTAGAATGTCTTGTATGTTGAAGAAGGTTCAGTGACATCCAACTGAGAGCTGGGCACAGGCCCTTGCTCAGACTTGCACGGTTCATTTGCGTGCCGTGAGAGTCGGGCTCGTTTTATTAAGGGAACGTTTCACATTTGAAGATGTTGAAGCAAACATTAGAGAGGATGAATAAGCCCACTTATAAATAACGATATACTTTTAAGTGAAACAGACTGCTCTAGACAATTCATTCAGTCTCTGTTTTGTGAATAGCCCTCAATATGTCATAGACTCTGCGCCATCGCACCTTGCACAACATTGGTTGAGAGCCAATCGACGGCCGTTATATCTGGAAATCGTGCTCCACGCCAGGTATGGAACGACTCGAACTATATTTTGATGGTTTGGCCTTGATGGCCTCATTCGAGTGGAATGCCAGATTTAAATGGCGTTATTATAGGCCGCCACAGGAATGCCTGGGCGACCTCGAAATAGTCTACCCGAAATAGTCTGCACATCTTTGCGGGCGTATAGCTAAAAAAACTAGAGAGTTTGGGATCTTAAGAAGGGCAGGGCTGTAAACCACACCAAATGATGTTCAAATGGCCATTTCAGTTAAAACCCACACAAATATGGAGCACTCTCTTTAACTGTACACTCTAGTGTTGCCAGTTGGCGCTGCATGGTTAAGTGCTTCAAGTATATTTTGTGGCCATTGAGCAATCGCTTCAGTGATTTAAACCGTAAAAGGCAAGTAATGAGAAAACGCGTTTGTTTTGCCGTTGTGGACTCAGCGGCGTGGGCCCGTTTTGGCCTCATGAACCGTTGTCCTTTAAGTGTTTCCACAGCGCATTGTAAGACAACCAAAGGCAGCGAGCACAGACGGTGGGAGAGGGAGGGGAGGAAGATGCATGTAAAGAAACACTATTCCTTTCTGAAGGCATCTCAACCGCCCCGACGTCAGTGCGCCCAGGCACTTCGTCGAGTGGATCTCAGAATGTCCTCTTTTTAACTATCTCATGAATCTGCAGGGGCCTTTTCCGCGCGGTGAATATATTTGAAACCGGCTGCAGACCAGGTTTGTGGTATGCTGCATGAGTGGTGAGACATGCTCCGGGGTCTTTTCTTTCTGGTTAAGGAAGAGCGCGACACCGATTCACAGATGTGGATTGATATTGGTGTTCGTAGCTGGTCCCGTCGACTTCAACTGAATCTGAAGATCCAACTCATGCCAACGTCACGTGATTGTCTGAACCGGCGGTAATAGAGGCGAGGAAGCTGTGAATCACGCTATCACCATTGTGTAAGTAACAGATCAGGACCATCACACACGCAGAGGCAGTGCCACGGGGGAATGGTTGGTTGCGTGGTTGCGCACCCAATGATAGCGCAATGCAACATCATTAGGACTTTGGTGTGGCACGGAAAGCACGCGTCAAAAAAGCCCCTGCCCCGTTCGTGAAACATCTCCTGGTGGCGCTGCCCTCAGGTGCGCTGAGCATGAACATGCGAGGCAACATGTTTGAACTAACAAAACGGTGTGAGATGGCTCCGACGCATCACATGTTGGTTAACGGTTAGTGACATATCGGAGGCATCGGACGCATCCAACGCAGTTTGTGCCCGCGTTTGAACGCCTCCAGTGGAGAGGATCCGCCGATGGGAGCTGAGCGGCGCGCGGCCGCTGCGTGAACGCCCGGCGCACGTGACCACCCCGTGCTCAGTCCACGCAGGATGGCCCGCTGCGTCGCGTCTCCCCCCGGTGGCGCCGAATCGACAGCAGCCAGCCGAGGTCTGTCCGGCCCGGGTGCCGGCTGCAGACCTCCCCCCCCAGCCCCAGCCGCCTGCGGCGTCCGGCGGTGGCCACCCACCCTAAATTGCCTCACGTCTTACGAAACAGAGCCCCGATGGCAGCGTGCCCGGAAGCGCTACCGCCCACGCCTGCCGAAACAGGACACCGGCTCGGCGCAGCACCGGTGCTCGCCGGGCCATCTCAGTGCAGAGGCGCCGGACTGGGAGCTGCCTGACCGTGGCCGGGGAGGCCCGCTCTCGCCGGACTCCAGCCCCGGCCCGCCCGCGCCACGGGATAGCTCCAGGCCTCGCCGCTCCTCTGACCTCGGCCAGCAGTCACCTGACCTGTATTCTGGCATCGCGATAATCGTCAAGGGCGGTTGATGGGACAGCTCACGGCGAAAACAAGTCAGCGGTAACCAGACAACTAAGCCAAGGACAACCGGGCCAATGGCGCCTGAACCAGTAAAACTAAGCCAGTGCCAACAGAACCAGCAACAACTGGCCCAGCCTTAACTGAATCAGTGACAACTGGC